GGTCTCGTAAGTGGTGCGCATCCCATCGGACTCCTGCCGGGTTGCGCACCCATCACTTCAGGATGCCAGCAGCTAGTGCCCCTTCGCCATGCGTGACAGCTGCGGACCTGCGTGATTGGCGGTTGACTATGATATAGCCCGGCTCATCTTTGACTGCCATGACAGTTACGAACTGTGCAGAGGACAGTGGCTAGCCGCACGAGTCAGGACTTTCCGCATAGCGCCTATGTACTACATAGGACTTAGAAGCTATCCGAACATATTTTCTTTAACAGAAACGAGGCGCGTTACGGTGTACAGTTGACACATTATTTATTATTATATACTTCACCATTCGCAACGATAGTGTAACTTGCTCAACATGCACCAACCAGGGTGCATAAAGCCTAATTTTACTTGACTAGATTTATGTACTGTAGCTCACTCGGGGATCTCAATTTATGCCAGTCGAGCTCCCAAGACACATGTTAGCTAGGGCGGAATCCAGCAGCCTTTCGAGGGAGTTCGCAGGGGAAAAGCGTCAACTACATTCGGACCATCGTTCCAGAGCCTGCAGATCAGTAGGAAAGAGTCGTTCTGATAGCACTTCGAATAACTATAACTCATACTCGCTTTCAGTTCGTGATCGCTCAAGTCAACGATGTGAAGGATTCCCAACTGGTTAGGACCTAGGTGGACTGAATTACTTGATAAACATTTGATCAACACGCATTCGTCAGCAGCTTACTATCTGCTAGAACGTAAGTGATCGTAGTACTGTGATACTTTTGACCTCATTTTAAGTGTTCCAGCACGTAGGTCAGTTATGTAATAACTGTTATTATTGGACATGCTATTCAACTCGTAACACCTGAACTAAGAGTGGGCGTTGGGAGTTAAACACCGAAAAGTCCCTTTAAGTGTCCGATTTGTTAGTCAGTGCTTTTGACTCCACACCTTGTGGTCTCGAACCACCTGGGCCGTTTTGTACCGGCCCACAAAGATCCTATGCCCGAGCACACGTATGCAATCTGTGCCACCTAGACATATATCGATGGCATATTAGGATAGCTACGCAGTTACCAAATTTGAATAGCAACCTCTTTTCGACAAGCTATTTAGAGACTCCGGCATGGTCAGTAGGGAGTACTCTGTGGTGAGCATTGGTGCCGTCAGCGGAAATGGACAAGTTTTGGCTGGTCATCATGACAATGCCACTCATACATCTTCTGAGATAGTATATTGGAGTTGGTTTTGATCAGGTTAGTGCCAGTAAATCCTCATTCCGAAAGACCGTTCACAGAAAAAATTGTAGAAAATTTAGCAAAGCTTCCTCAGTGAACCGTTAAAATAATGCATCCTTGAACGCTGGGTTTTGGAGTACCCGCCGTGAGTCCCGATCGCTAAACGCAATCTCGAGTTGTAGCCTCGGATGACTGTGAAGTCGCCCTCTGCCAGTTCGAGCATTGAGACCGAATTCGAGGTGCAAGGTTTCGAGTTTGCTCTCTTGCAGTCTTGCGTTTCGTTCTGGCTTGGACTAATCAGGCAGATAGCCGAACTGGGAGTGGAACTCGGCACATAGTGGTTGCTGGCTATCCCCATGATCACTAGTCCATTGAGCTCTGCGAACAGTGCTTGACCCAGTGGTGGATTGTCGGGTTTTTGAGTACGTTTCTTTGTGTCTGCAACCCGACATGCCAGTTACGGTGCGGCCAAGGCATACTATGAAGCTAATCTCTGCCACTTCAACCACTGCGACCCCAACGAATTGGAATTCCAGTGCTGTATTCTCCTAACACTATACCCTCAACTTTTGGCTGTACTTCACTGCCTTACAATTGTGAATCAGGTCTATGGTCATAATTATAATGGAAATATAAGAAAAAGGCCAAACAGAGTAGAAAACTGTGACCCAAACCTTTGAAAAATGAACAATGAATTTATACGGATTAAGAAGCGTTGCTTTACAAGTCCCGTTGGATAATTGGTGGAGATATCAACATAACAATAATGATGATAAGGGTAGTAAAATAGTTAATCATTGAAATATGAAAATGAGGACTTATCGTTTGCTTCGCTATAGCCCTGCAATCCTCTTGGATTCACAGCACACACAGTTAACAACAAATAATTCCAGGGTAAACTCCAGGTGTAGGATGGAGACGTAGTGTTAAGTAACAAAGTGTAAGTGGATGAGTTCATCGTCCAACCGTCTTTTAAATACCCTTAATGTCGGTGTAGAGATGACCGAGTCTGGGAGAGCATTCCATCCGTGACAGACACGAATGGAAAAGAAATTTCTGCGGCACTCCAGACGAATCCATTGTTATGCGAGTTTTAATGATTGGCCCCTCAGGTTTGTATTGCTGCTGAGTTGCAGTAAAGAGCGACACACATGATGTGGGTCTCGCAGAATCAAGTATGCCATAATCAGGTCGCCTCGTAGTCTGCGATAGCTTCCACTGAACACCCCCAATAGTTGCAGCCTCTCCTGGTAGGAAAGATTGAGCATTCCATGTACGTTCTAAGATGCCCGACGTTGTGGCTGTTCCAGTGAATTAAGATCGTGTTTCAGCCATGTATGCCAGGATTGAATTGCGTATTCGACATTGGGGCGAACATACGCACTGAGCATTTGTCGAAATATGGAGCTGTTTATTTGTCCAAACGCCCGTCGCAACAGCCCGACGTGTTGGTTGCCGGTCTTCGAGGCCTTTTCGAATTGCGTGGCGCAACCCAAGCCAGTTTGAATCAGGACATCCAAGTCATGTTCGAGAGTTGATTGTTGCAGTATATTCGTTCCGAGTCGGTATGAATAGCTGCCCTGATGTCGGATGGAAAGCACCTTGCATTTACTGACGTTGAAATGCAATACGTTTTGGGTCGACCATTCATACACCGTATCTAGGTTACTCAGAATCACATGATGGTCGGCGTTCGCCTGGATCCTGCGCCAGATCTTGATATCGTCGGCAAACATTAGGAAGTTTTAAGCGATTCCCTATGCAAGGACATTAATAAACACCAAAAACAAACGTGGACCAGAGCCTTGCGGCACACCACACCCGACTTGTACAGGGTCCGATGGTGAGCGCTGAACTCTGACCATTAATGCCGTTGAAGTAGAAACTTGGCAATCCAGCTTAGATGAGGGTCGCCGATCCCGTAATGATGGAGCTTGGAGACTAGTATGCGATGGTCTAGACGGTTGAAAGCATTGGAAAGATCCAGGTAGATCACATCGACACCTTCTCCAGCTTCAGCTGTCTCAGTCAAACTACTGTGTGCAATTAGGAAATTCGTTATACATGACGGCTGTAGACGGAAACCGTGCTGCTCAGGCGTGATGATGTTACAGTTTTCCAGATAGCACACTAGTGCATCGGCAACTATGGATTCCATGAGTTTGGAGAGTATAGGAAGAAGGGATACTGGGCGGTAGTTGGAGGGATCAGTTCTGCTTCCATCTTGGTGAATCGGGGTTATTATTCCAAGCTTCCGAGGGCTCCTGCACCAACCCAAGAACAGACGGTCACTAATTGCGGGCTGTTGTTCGTTGATAAATGGACGCAGGCACGACAACTTCAGTGTAGCTCTCATTAGCTCGCCTTAGGAATAGCATTCTGTCACAGACAGTCAGAGTAGGAAACGACCATAAAATGCTGGTAATGTCTGTTGTGGATCGTATGCTATAGAGCCTCTAGCCAGACACACGGTAGACTGCTCGGGTCACAAGCTGGAAGGAAGAACGTTCTAACAAAATGCTCAACCGCTTTTTAGGTCAATCACCATCTCCGACCAACCTGATCCCAAGGACAAAACTATAAGGCTGAAAGAGTATTTGGTTTGATTCCGATGATTATTCGCTTCGTATGTTCATCTGAGTGGTTGTGTGGCCCTTACACGCACATCAACCGCCTCACTCCAACTGCTCCGTACTGTTGGAATATGCGTAAAGCATTAGAAAAAAGGCGGATATGTGGCCTTTCAGATCCTATAAAGTTGCACTTGCAATGAGAGTGATCTGGGCAACTTGTGCATCACTCATGGCAATGAATTTGAGGATACCCCAACGGTTCTATTATGTGAATAGTTTTTAATCAAGTTTTGTAGCTAACAGGAGCTAGAAGCGAACTCTCCGCAGCAACACAATGCTTTATAGCGTTCCATCCATAGGTATCTTTGAAGCACCCGATAGGATCGTGCCTACCACCTTGTACATTAACGGATGTGGTTCCTAGGACCTGGTACCATCCTATGTAATGAAGAAGAGTGCAACCTATTTAAGCCTGGTGTATTTCACTCCGATGGGGATGAGGAATGGCATTCGTCCCATCGAACAACTCAGTACATATTTGTCCTGCTACGTATGCGCTGAACAACGTGTGTACGAGTCTGACTTGACCATGTTTTATGTTGCAAGATACACCTGCAAGCTCATCAGTTGATAACGGAAGGAGGCGAGCGATGAGCTAGAACAGGTTGCATCGTCTTCATACCGCTACAGATAGTCTGTTGATCACATGTGTTTGTAACGGGTGGATTGCTTTTGCCTAGTTATTACGTGCTGGTATGCGTAGCCACTTATGGGATTAGCCAAATGGTACTAGTGATGCCAGTGGTCACTTTGAGTTCTGCATCCTACTGTTCTTTCGAAATTTCATCCCGCTAGCTAGTTTGTCAAATGACAACCGCCATGAAGAACACAAAGGTGACACCGGAATGCCTGGCGTTGTTATTCGGTCTAAGTTTGAACGCTGCATTAGCCCATAGCAATACCCGCTTGCACATCGATGAATGTGACCCCGCAGTATTCGAATGCGGGCACTCTACATTATACCCCGATACAGCTGATCTCTTTTGGGACTTGACCGTAATGGATTAAAAAACAACCTCCGCACATCCTCACTCACTCATGATGCGGTTAGATTGTGGATTAATTTCTCGAAACTCAACATTATGGTTGCTTCGTACACTGTCGCATATGTGAAAAAGGAAACTGAATTTCGTGCCTGACTCACGTGGATAAATCACGCATGCTGATATTGTCGAATTCGTGACTTATTCCCACATCGTGCAGTTCCATGCGAAATCCATATTCATACTCCTCGCGCCATGGCTCAAGAGGCTATAAGGTGGATGGAAAGGAGAATAATCTGTCCAGTTACAATCGGTCGTCAGTTGGATCCTCTTGACTACATGAAACTAAATCAAAGCGGTTGCTCAAATTCCACAGGTCAAAACTACTGAGCACTGCAGATCTAAGTACCCATTCCCACATCTCCGGTCGTCTGGTGTTCATATTCATGAAACGAAGTGCTTCATGTCTCTTAAAGTACAGGAACATTTATGGGTAGGCTTGATAGGGTTGCGGAAAGTAGGAAGCCCGTGTTTGACCGCTTCGGTTTGCAACTAGGTTACACTAACGAGAACGTCAGCTCATACACTATGCGCAAGATGAGAACGGCATGTTTATGTTGTTTTAAATGGGTTATGGCTCTCACGTTGCATGAAAGTTATTTTCCCCCACTAGATTCCGCGACATTCGATATAACAACAGAGGCCGTTTATCTAAAAGAAGCCTCAATACCACATTATCCATATGGCTTGTTGTTCCATTTGTGCCCCCTAACACAGACGCACCTAGTCACCGGCCATCCACCCAACCTAGTCTTTTCTTCTGGCCAACGGTGGTCCCTCAGCTGCCACCACCATTATACCCACGGGACTTGCGGAGTGTAATTTAACTCTTTTTTCAACGAAGTAGTGCAGGTTCGCTAGCTGTCTCGGTGTGTGCGCAATTGCAGAATAAAGAAGTCAAAAAGCTGGCGGTCTAACATCCCATTTGCTAAGAAACTACACAGCCGCAATCAGACCCCTGTCAGATGCCTTATTCAAACCTAATTTAGTGAATACGTGATTCCGCCCGGGAGATGTTCTCTGTCTCGATCAGCTTTGATCTGATTATTGAGGGACCGTCACCAATGCGGTATTTAATGGAATCATGTAAAAGTTAGGTTGAGCACATTGTAGATATTCTGCTGCGTTGATATCGCTCTATACCTTATGTTAGAAACTAGATTTCGAGGTAAAACAGTAGCTTGAACTGCGTCCCTACGTGAGCTACAGAGTCTGTTCGAAATAGCTTGGGGCGGTATCAACATAAGTTAAGTAAATGGCTACTTACCGACCGCCTCCCAAAGCCCGATCGCTCTGCACCTACCTGTGTACAACAGCCATGCTTGTCCGAATGCTATTGGCTGATTTACCATTGGTATCTCATTTATGTGCCTATGCATAAACAGGGTGAAATTTGAATGCGTTGTGAACTAGATCTAGTAGTCATGCTGAGGAACATGAGTCCTTTATGGATTATTTCGACTGCAGTATGTGTTGTGTATTCTGTCAGCTGTCTGGGCGTCTAGTCTAGACAGACACGTGCACACAACCCAGACACACACACACACACACAAAGCGTCTAATTCTTTACTTCCTTATTGGTTCATCCTTCTCCTTGCGAAACCTTATTGTACTCACCCAGTAAGACATTGATCAGATTACAGCAGTCCGTTTCCGAGAGTGACCTTTTCGTACACAACAGTATGGATGCAAATTGCTGTGAAAAGGTGTAGAGCGAAGTTGATGCTCCAAACGGAGGCAGTACGATCATTCTTAGGAAGACTGTCTACAGAGAGGGCTAAGTTTCTGGTTTAGATCTGACGACCCACTTCTCAACACCTAACTAAATGGCAGACTTGCCACGATACTCCAATGATAAGGTGGTCATGCTGCATTCCGTCAACTGCAATAGCCGACGTGACACACCTATCTGGAGTTTGGAGTACAATACCGTCAGCATACATGACCTGGCCTATCAATCTTGATGAACATAGTGCATGCAATATTTGCTGGTTAAGAAGTTATTGCTGCGGTCAGGAGTTGGCGGATGATGTAGATTTTTAGATTGCGTCATCAAATCGTTTTGTGTCCCTTAAGTCAATCCCCTATTTATCCAAGCGGTACGGAGCTGTAACAGATGATGGTAGTTTGGTCTGTTGGCAATATGGACTGTAGGTACGAAACTACTGAAGAAGTGGGTGCTAAACCAGCAACCAATCTTTCCAAACCTGTGCTAAACTCGCAATGTCTAGGAGTAGTAAAATATGCAGCCAATAAGTTGGGGGCTGACATCATGCGGCTGGTAGGGTAATGCAGCGCAAGCAACAGATAGTTTGTTTTTAGACAAATGGATCTCTCATTTAAGTAGAGTGCCGGGTTTGCCAAGTAAACCTTGTAGCCCGTCTAGCACCCTATTGGTATGTAAATTATAAATGCCATATGCGTTGGTATACCACTATCATCGTAGTACCATCGTAGTACACAATGCTTTGAAAAAAAACCAAAAAACCCAATGAGTTGTCTTTAGAAGACCACCCGGAGAAAGGTCCAAACTAAACGTTAACAGAAGGAGTAAAACAACTCACTCTCGAAGATATCTTTTTGGCTCCATGAATATTTAACAAGTTGAGAATGAGAGTAGCAAAGCCAGGGGCCATACAGTTGTATGCCATTAGACCGAATTTCAATTCTTCCATACACACAACCACATCGTTCGCCAGATACGCCCACCTCGGGAAGTTGTTGATAAGACACTAGATTGATGCACCGTCGGGTAAGGAGAGAATATATCGCAAACTGTTATCTAGGGATAGTATTGAAACAACTGCGAGTAGTTAAGTCATGTTAAGTCTCGTTTTACTGTTGGAAAGAATATTAGTGAGCAAAATAAAAACAACAGAAAAGCAGCTTGCTACAGTTGAATGACCGTATGTAACAAAGCGGGGCTGTTGGCAGTTGCGAATGTAATTTAATATTTATGCGTACCAGCCATGCCTACTCGTAGTGAACGTAAGATTGGTACAGATAACGACACAAGGTTACGGCATTTAAATCCGGATTTACTTGTCATTGTAGCTTCCGCAGGATAGCCACAGGAAGCCTGCGCCTAAAGAAAGATTATGGATTGCTTGCGCCGCACCATCCACGGCTCCATCCACACACCCCATAACTAGTATAAATCCAAACTAATAAGCGAAGGCATGTGGATGGGAGCCACGTTTCATCGAGGGAGCCGGCCAACACTTCTTCACAAGCAAACACAAGCACGCTGTATTTGGGAATCAAGCTCACATGAGGTGGTGGCTGGACTGTAGTCCGCTCCACACTAGATGCAGCCACTCTTTAAACCTGGCATCTTCACGAGGACCGTGTAGCCTGTCCCTCCAGCAAAGATTAGCATCCCCCTGGAGCCAATACTCGAGGTATGCACCTTGTCAACATGCACATCAAACGCAGCCAAACATTGCATACTACACGGCAGTTTTCGTTTGTCAAGTGCACAGCCGACAGGCAGATAGTCAGTCGAGTTTAGCCCGACTGGGGCGACAGTGCACACCATCCGCTGCACCAGCCTCGAACTTGACAACTACACAATGACAGTGCGATTGCTGTCTAGTCACATACACTCACATGCATTTGTCCATAGTTGTGTATGAACCAGCACAAAGAATATGGAAGGGCAGGTGCTCCCACGGAATATAATACAAGTGTGCATGTGTGTGTGGATTGGATGCAAAGGATATTCGTCAAGTTACAAGGAATCGCACGCGCAATAGTAAGTACCCCATAAGGGACGATCAGTTAAGAAACTTGAGCGGTATCTGTGTTCCGACTGGCTCCCCAACCGGCGTTCTTTAGGATCTCCGTCCCGGCCGTCGCCACGCATAGGTTACTGACGGCAGCACCGTTGCATTAATGCGCAATGTTCGACAGTCTCGTGGCTCCGTGTAGAATAGTGCTAGACAAGCAAAACACAGCGCTTGACTATAAATATGTTTCAACAAGGCAGGAGAAGGGGACCGTAGTTTCATGTACGAAATGGACACTGAATGTGCGACAGAGACAGTACTAAGCAAGTCAAAGAAGCGTGCTAGGTCAGAGCTAGGCTACTGCTAAATCGGTATAGCCCAACTGCGGTGCAGAACCATGGTGTAGGTAGCACCAACCTCAGCATGTGGCAATCGTATGGGAGTATTGGCGTCCGGATTAACCTGTGAATACTTCGTCCTTAAGAAAAGTACAGTATGCCTGCGTCTGCGCAGAGACTATGGGTAGTTATTGCTGCAATACAACCCTTAATAACATGGTTGGGCATAAGCGCATATGATCGCGTCTCTGATGCAACCAGAGAACGGGTATTCCGTTTTGACTGACCTTCATCATAATCTTTGCCGATTAATGTGTGCTGTCCGCTTATGCTAAGTAAAACTTGAGTTAAACTATGTCTGCACAATTGTGTCCCACCAGGACCTACATATCAGTCCGTGGTGACCGGTCTCACATTTGGCCTCTCCGGCATATCCCCATCGCGACTTCGATGGTGACTAGGTAGAACGGCAAGGCCGAAGCACACACAGCCAGCGTATGTTTCAAAAGAATGGTCTGATGTACCTCAGTTGCTCATTGAACCATCTGCACGAGTTACCGTGACACGGCAGCGCACCAACTTGCTAACTGTCCAATGGTAGACGTTGGTCTGCCAAAATTTCGCTCCCCCAGTCACAGGAGTATGCCGAGCTGCAGTGACGGTAGAGTGCCGGGCCAGAAGGACTGTATCCTCGGTACTATGGTTCTAACGACGCATCGACAAACAGATCAAGTCCGACATGTGGTGCCACACCGATTTTGGAATGCCAGACCAGCATGGCAGCATGGTCCGACAGGTGTTGTGATGATAGATGGGCAGACAGAACAATCCGCACGAAGTGAATGAGAAATCCATGCGCCGCACTGATGGTGGTGGTGGTGGTGGCAATCCGTGTAACCATAGCATATTTTTGGAATCGATCTAATAATCATCACTTCAGAGGGCTTGGTTAACCACTGCTTTACGTATTTGCTTGATATACAAGCCTTCGCTTTTGACGCAAAAGCTTGTTCAGACATGCAGAAGATGCTTTCGTGTCAAAAACGAAACGTCGTACTCCCAGCGAATGCACTAACTGGTTGTTCATCAATCCTTCTGAAAAGCACAATGCATCGCTGTTACAACCTGCGATGTTTACTTTCCTCATTAACACGCAGTTACTAGGTTATTGACGGTGTGGAAATCGAACATTCCGGAAAGTGGGAAATTGAAAAGGAGCAGTTTTTACTCTTGCGTTTTGTATTTTTGGGAATTTAAGGTGTATTATAGAGCGGTCCTGGGACATGCGTATCTAATGGGCATCACTCTCTAATCGTTGATGTTACGATCCGACGGCCACTATCGTGATTCGGTACGAACATACGCAGACATGGTAATATCACAAAAGAACATAACACCGCTCGCGGACGGAACACAGATTCCGCCTCCAGTTGATAGCCCCAGCCCCCAACCCTAACGAGAAATACTATGATGATAACTTAGCCGTTCGTCCATGAAGGTCTACTAACGGCCATGTGATATCAGTCAATCACAGTTCTGGGCTGAGGCAGAAACGGATTTGCGGACACCGTTTTAAAATCAAAATAAGCTAACAGTAAATCCAAATGTTGTTGGTTCTAGTCTACTTCATAAAAGTGCCGGATTTTCCTAAATCTGACCTTCCACAAGTCACTTATAATGCCGTTCAGAGGTACACGCTCTGTTTGCGGTAAAGCGAGTTGCTCTGAACCAGTTACTGGTTCTTCGTTAGGAATGCAGTGTGACCTCTGCAGTCCTTGGTTCCATGAGGTTTGCACTAGGTTGGATAGACAGCAGTGTACCCACCTAGAAAACAGCGATGATTTACCTTAAAACTGCCCTGACTGTGTTAAGCACAAGATATATCGTCTAATCCCAAATGACGACTCGGAAACATTGGTGGATGGAGTGGGTACCCTACTATCTTTGTTTAGTTCTTCAGAGGGGAAAATTGATCAAATCGTCTTAAGCCTTGAAGCTGCAGGAGTTCTCTGGGCAAGCGTGCGTTCAGGGGACTGCATAACTAGTACGGCTTTGAACGAGTTACCCATTGAGACGGCGCCTGAAGTTAGTAAACATCGTATCGGTATACTGAACTCAGCTGTGAGAGGAGAAGATTTACAGGCGAATGTGTCTGGGTAAGATAAAGCAATCGGCCAATTCAAACAAACCCAAGCCAAAAGGTGTTGCGTTGGGCTCTGTTGGTACTCCGTCCCCGGCAACGAAGGCAGAAAATTCTTCCACCTCATTGCCGGAATCCTTTTCATGTGCACCTACTGTTCTCACAAATGAGGATATGAACTCGAACGCTGCGCCGGTCACTACTACAGTGACGCGTGCGGTAAACACCTCTCGTTGTAGTGATACACTTAAGGGCAGCCGCGTTATCTTTAGGAACATAGCTGAGTCCTCTGCGTTTCCTCCGAAAGATCGCACGCTTGACGACCTTCACTGGTTCACACTTTGTGTTTCTAAACTAATTCCCCTCGGGTTTCCTGGGGTTACGATTAGAAAACTTACTAGCCTTGCGAACATATTGGGTGACAGTACAAAAAGTAGGCCTCGTCTACTACGCGTAGTCTTGTCTATGCCGGAGGAGCGCCAAGCTCGTTTGCGTTTCGCCTTTAAACTAAAGGATTCCGGAGTGAGTATACAGCCGGACCTACCTACCTAGTGGCCGGTGCCGTGTGGTCTCTGCACCTGGTCTGCAACCGTAAGGTCACCGGTTCGAACCACGTAGGGGTGGGCGTCCTTGCGGTTTGCTTAGCCTATGCGCGAATAGTGGTGATCACGTGGCACTGAAGCTCCGTTACCTTGTACAGCTGGCGATTTATTATGTTATTTTACTACCTTTAGCGGATGGGATATAGCCTAAGGAAGCCATCAAAACCTTTAAGCGAGTCGAGAAGTTGTCGAGGAAGGTTTATGTTCGGTGGGTTTCCGGGTGTTGAGCCGGCGGTCCACTTCCGCCTTACCAGAACCCATTCTGGTAGCACACGACCTAGGGCTCTCCATACCAGACGTTTTCACGTAGTTTTCAGTAATGTGCGTAGCCAGCTGCACAAAATGGGTGAAGTTAGTGCTCTAACAATTAACTCCCATCTTGATGTACTCGTGTTTACTGAGACATGGTTGTCTTCTGACTTCCTGGACAATGAATAAAATACGTTCCAGGCTCCGCACCGCTGAGATGTGACCGCTTAATTGATCGTCGCGGAGGTGGAGCCGCCCTGTACATCAAATGTGATGTGAACATATCAAACATACTTTAACTCAGCTGATCGAACTGTTGAAGCTTTTCCAGTTGAAGTATGTAGTGCGTCAACGTACTTTAAACTTGTGTTGCTGGATAGAAGTCCTGACAGCGCTTCTAGGAGTTTCATTGACTTCATCCGCACTCACTATGCGAACAGATGCTTGATACTGGGGGACTTCAGCGTACCTGAAGTAAATTGGCATGACCTATCCTATGAGGCAGCGACAAAGGGTTTGGCTGCCGAGCTTGTCGACTTGACACTGGAAGTACCCTTACACCAATTTGTCGATCAATCCACCAGGTACATGATGGGTCATGCTCCTTCTCTCTTGGACCTAGTTTTTGCAAACTCGGTTGACTTCGTGATAGACCTTGATTATGGTCCCCCTTTG